TGAGTTGTCTATCTCACCAGGTATAGAATACAAGTCAACTATTGAGTTGTCTATCTCACCAGGTATAGAATACAAGTCAACTATTGAGTTGTCTATCTCACCAGGTATAGAATACAAGTCAACTATTGAGTTGTCTATCTCATTGACATAGATTACAAGTCAACTAGCCTCACACAGTATGACACTAACATGAAGGTCCATTCCCATATATAACTCCATTCATAAATGTGATTGCCACCTTACCCTTTCATTAGTAGTTGTCCTTTTGGATGACTTGCAATGGTTTGTAATGTACTCCTATCACCAGGGGATGTCTTCTCTAATACCTATGTTAACAGAGTAATACATGCATTTTGAGGGGCAATGTGTACATTTTAATTATAATCCACAAACAAATGTAGGATAGTAATGTTGTTGGAAAAACTTCCATACATTGACTCAACGTATCACATCATTGAGGGCAATATGAAAGATTCCTCCTACCTTCTTAGGTATATTTTGTGCTATCAAAGCAGAGTGAATTTCAGCAGATAAACATAACGGTGACTGGAAGGTAAAGAATCTTAAAATTATAAAACATGGAGAGGAATCAAATAACTCTTGAATGTAAAGTACAGTGGTGGCATATTGCTTTGGATTTTTTTTGCTACATCATTGCATAAACAAAAGGTAGCTTCGCTACTATGAGTCATCGCATTTACTTCCGCATAGCTTTGCATCAGCTTTAAATGAGCTTCACCTCATTTTTGAAGTACACATTGTAGCGAAGATGGTCTTTAGTTTATCTTAACTTGCAGTTAAGGTGAAGTCAAAAACTACAAAAGCATATTCGACAGCTGTTCTGTATGTGATAATGTAGTTGACATCAATAACCGCTCACAAAAACGATTGGATATATCACAGATTCCCTCCACCAATCCCATACATCCTCATTCGGCTAATAATTATTTGGAAGTACACCCTTACATATAAAGTAAATTCTCACCACAATAGCAATGTTATCATTGTCCATCACATGTTCAGTTTGATCATCGCTACTACTACTACTACTACTAGTTGCATTCATATCCTCCCATTCTTCATCTTCCTCATCTACAGAGAAATATCCATATTCATATTTAAAAACTTAAAGGGCCCTGAACTGTGATATTATAGAATTCAAGCAAGAATGACCTGACTGTGGTACTAAATGCATTATGTAAACATTATATGAGGTCATTGCGAGAATACAACAAAGTATACATGAAGGCAGTACAGCGTATCGACTGTCACTTAACAAAGGTTGATGTGACCATGTACTGCCTGAATGCATACTCTGCAGTATTCTCATGATGACCTTATTATTATACATCTTTTTCCTGCTTGTACTCTTAATTTAGAACAGCCCAAAATGGCAATAAAGAATGTTTTGTTACTTAGGGAACAATTGTAAGGCAAGGTCTTACCATCAGAAACGCACACATTAGAGGTGATCTCTAACGCTACTTGCTGGGCAGTCAGTAGACATTTCACATCATTAATACTGTCTTCAGTCTTGCTTTCCTGAAAAAAAAAGTCATTGATAATGTATTTTGCTGAATTAACATCTGAGGTAAATAATTCAACACTAACAATTGTTGACAATATTACAGCTGACACAAAACAATTGCATACATCCAACCCCTGTGCCTGGTAGGCGGCTACTGATTGCAACACCCTAAGACACATTCCTGGGAACTATTTCCTTGAGGTGGTATACCTTTGATGTGTGGTCACATGGGAAGGTGTAATTAGACTATTCCATTGCTATTGTAGGTACATAAAACATTGCTGTGACACTTGGAAGAAATGTAATAGGAACACAGAAGTGAGAATGGATATTATTAACAAGCAATAACAATTACGGTACATGTATTGTAAATTCTGTTGATTGGTAGAATGTTGATATTTGATGTTATTGGTAATAGCATTATATTAATTCATACAAAAATCGTCATTAAATTTTTTATTTTGCTCACTTTTCCATACAATTTTATGAATTCACACATATAGAGATAAAAATAATCGTATAGTCATACAGATTTAGTTACAATCTACAAAAATAAGTATACTACAAGATTACCTTGAGATTCAAGAATTTACCTAAATTTTAACTTGAATTATTAAAATCCACAAATAATTTGAGTGCACATGTTTCAATTGTTTCTCTAAAGTACAAATTAATACAAGTATTTCCTTTCTCACCACACTCATTTTCTTCTTGTAGTTCACTACGTAGGACACTATATTGAACATTTATGTACATTTCACTGAGACCATAATATCTGTAGTATATTTCAAGATATTATGAGGTTATTACAAGAATACCACAGTCAGTATGGTTATCGAAACAAAGGTTCATGCATTCCCGTACATACATTGAGGTAATCTTATGATAACATTATTATACTTATTCCTGTTTGTAGTAATTTGATGAGCGATAACGGCCCATAATAGTAATGAAGAATGTTTTGCGATCTGTGACGGGATTCTATTTCCATCATGTGCTGATGGTGCTTCTTCAGTAAACAAAGTAAATTTGTTGAATGAGACATAAAGATGGCACCCAGTTACCAAATTTGAAAGACATTCGAACATGTCCATATTACTTTTGATCACGACAGTATAGTATTTTTCGAACAGGTAATTTCTATTGTTTTTGGTGTCTAACACTACACAAAAGTTAAGCATTAATATGTGTGAAAGAATGAAAGAAACATAATAAACTTACTTTTATATCAGCATCCTCATCATTAGCTGCCATGGCAGCATGTGCCGTTTCTTCTCCTTGTGATTCAGAGCAACTTACTCCCTATGAAATGCATGTTATTTTCTGAGTCATAAATAGGTGTCATGGCTGATATCAAGTAAATTTGTATACGATAGTGAAATATTGTACTGTCAGGTAGGATTATAAGTTGTCTTCAAAATTTTGCATTATGTGTGCTGTAATGAATGTAATGGCTATGGTGTTCGCAAGATATTCGCCAATAACTGAACATCAAGCAGATTTGGTTATAGTGGAGTTTTTAGCATCTGGCTACTATACCAAATAAAAAAACTGTTAACTGATTAATGAAGTGATGCCACGATGGTGAAGTCATCAGTTACAATCAGTTAATTGTTAGCCTTTTGTATGGAATTTATTTTTACTGATTTTTGATAAGTTGAATGTAAAATATAAGAAAAAAAGGTATATTCACTGGATTTTATTTTTACTGAATCATCCATTTAGAGCAAAAAAAAATATTTTACAGTACATTAGCAGTACCAAGTTTCATAACAACTGTATGAACTACTTACATTTGCAGAACCAAGATTCATAATAACTGTATGAACTATTTCTATACTATTCAAATCTAATGTGTCTGATAATATTTTTACAATGGCCTGCATTGTCTGACTCTGGCTTCCAGCGGGAAGATTATTTTTTATATTAAATATTGTTCCTGCAAATGAACAAAAGAAAATAAATGTGCATAACTGTAGGAATTTGGTTCGCAATGGGACAAAACATAGCACACAGGTTACTCCAATATTTAGCATAGTTTTTCACACTTTACCTGCAAT